GCCTTTATTCACCCACCATAGAAACATTGTAAATGAAAAGGAACTCTCTCTCTCTCTCTCTCTTTTTCCCTCCCCACTTCTCCCCTCCCTTCCCCTCCCCCTTTCTTTCTCTCTCTCTCTCTCTCTCTCTCTCTCTTTTTGGTTTGCTTTTGAGATGTCATATTTGGTCCTGAAAGTGGGGATCATGTATGACTAAAGCAGTCTCTTTTGACCATAGGAGAGTGTTCTAGTTTGCTTTCAATTGCTGTGACAAAACATTTTGACCAATACCAACTTGGGGAGGAAAGGGTTTATTTGGCTTACATCTCCTGGGTCACAGTTCATCACTGAGGGAGTCCAAGGTAGGAATTCAGGGTAGGAACCTAGAGTTAGGAGCTGAAGCACAGGCCGTGGAGGAGTGCTACTTACTGGCTTACTCCCCTGGCCTCTGCTCAACCTGCTTTCTGATATAACACGAGACCACCTGCCCAGGGTGGCACCATCCATAACTCAACAATTAAGAAAATGCCCCAACTACATGGTCACAGGTCAGTCCAATGGGGAAAATTCCCCAAATGAGATTCCCTCTACCCAGATTTGTCAAGTTGTCTAAAGCTATCCAGCACAGAGAAGTAACTTTCTTTTAGTTCACAGGAAATTGTGTTGAGAAGACCTATGTTCAAGGGCTATACTTTTGGAACTACACTGGAAGGGCCTTGTACACAACTGGATCTAACTTGTACACAACTGGATCTACATTTTGATCTCATCTTGATAAGGGATAATAATTTGGGGCTGGAATATGGGCTGCTGAGATGGCTCAGCAGGTAAAGGCACCTGCTGTGCAAGCCTGATGACCTGAATTTGATTCCAGAATCCATGATGGAAAGAGACCTGACTCCCAAGAGTTACCTCTGGCCTTCACATGTGTGCTGTTGCATACACGTACCCACATTCATATACACACACGGACACACACTAAAAAATGTTAATGAATAAAAGAATTTTGGAGGCTTCCAGAGAGAGTGTGAATTTTGTGCATGAGTGAACTGTGAATCACTGGTGTTCAGACAATGATTCAGGTGTCAATTCTCCATGTGACCTGGTATTTATGTCCTCATGTAGTGTTCACTGGTCAGGGCTGGTCTCTACCATAGTAGAATCTTGAAGAAATGATGGGATCATTTCAAAAGCCAGGACATGCAACACTGCAACTTCCATTGTGTTCTCTTTTGGGTCACTGGTTCTGTCAGGTTCTATGGAAATGTCCATTTGGCAAAGAACTGAGGCTTCCTGTCAACAGTCAGCCCTGATTTGCCAACCATATGAGTGAGTCACCTTGGGAACAGTCTTTGGATGAATACAGTCTGACCTACCATTTCCATTATAACTTGATGAGAGTTCTTCTTATCAGAACCATCTAGTCAAGGCTGTTCTCACATTCCAGACTCTCCAAAGCTCTTGGAAATCATGGTCTCTTGCATTTTCAGTTAAGTTTTGAGATAATTTGTTTTGTGGCATCACATTGTTAACAGAAGTTCTGCAGCGAATGAGTACAAACAGGAGGACATTTGTAGAGCTTTGTGGTTTTCTCATCATAGCTTGTCAGTGAGCCCAGCTGTTCCCAATCCCTAATCAGGGAAGGAGAGAATGAAAGTCTCAAACTTTCTGCTTTTTCTGCAGTGTTTGCCTTTCTTCATCCCTATGAAAATATTCTTAACAAAAGGAGGTATTTAGATACAGTCTTTAGAGTTCATGGGTTTTTTTTTGGTTTGTTTTTAAGAAGTCACTTTTGACCCTGAAGGTGTAGGTACCACGTATGTTTAAAGCAGGCTCTTTTGACATGAAATCTGCTCTGAAAGTTAGGCTGTGGAGTAGCTGTGTGAGGGACTGGGCCTGCAGGGTTGGGTTTTCATCTCCTTGCAGAAAAAGTTGTTTCCTTTTTGTAAAATGATTGTAGAACTTATACACTAGTCACTGCACAGTGGAGGAAAATGGGGCAGAAATGAACTACTCTTTCTATAGTCACTCCTGGCTACCAGTTCAATTTGATGAGATCGGTTTCCATTTGTCCTTCGGGTGTGTGTGTGTGTGTGTCTGTGTGTGTGTCTGTGTCTGTGTCTGTGTGTGTGTCTGTGTGTGTGTCTGTGTCTGTGTCTGTGTGCTTATATCTTTGGTTAGTTTCAAGTGAAAATGATTCTAAGTAAGGGCTAAATGCTGTCTTTTTACCATGTTGACTTGGGTTTAGCTGCTTGAAGTTGTAACAGACATGAAAATTTTATTTTATAATTTTGCATATTCCCTTGGGCAATTCTCTGCGTGGATCCTTTGTAGTTGCAGAAAATAAATTACCAGTGGGTTCCAGTCCAGGATGGGTGATATAGGTTACAATTCTGATTTTGCTATAACCATTCCTGGTGCCTAGACCATGTGCAAATTTATATGTAGAGTTTCTCTGCTTTAAAACTGAATACCACTGAGCTTTTTAAAAGGCATTCTTGTTTTTTCGATGATATAAAGGCTTTACTTAAGACTAAAACATAATCACATTGCTTGTAATTTTCCTTGAGCTTTGTCCCTGATTAGGTATAGTTACTTTCGGTTTTAAGTGGTTTCTCTCTAAACACTTACATGGATTTGAGGAATGTGTAGTTTCCTCTTATCCACTGGTACATATTGTTCACCAGGGAGTGCTGTTGTGTTTTTGTAAAATATGTGGGTTGTTTTAACTCTCAGCTCCATATTTACATTGAGTTTAACTTTGTTTTAGTGTCTTATGCTTTATTTTTTGTGGTCCCCAGGAACCAAACTTGAGGCCTTACCCATGCTAGGCAAGTGTCTGGCTGTGCCGTATCCCCACCTGATCTTTTATATGACTTTAAACATTCAGAGGCAAATTAAGGGGACACGAAGATGTTTGTGAGTTTATTTTTCCTTTTGTATGTGAAATCTGCTTCCTGTAGAATGTGATGTATTGGTCATCCACTTAGGTTGGCTGTCAACACCACCTCTGTTTTTGATCTTGTCTGCTCTTCAGAGCCCTGGGATTAGAAGTGTAAATTTGTGTTTTCAGAGAATTATAAGCAGTATAGCTTTTAGAACTCATGAGTTTAGCAGTAAAATTATCATTGTGCTCCTACTGGAATTTTGCCAATAAGTTATCCCCTCGTGTGTGTGTGTGTGTCTGTGCCTGTGTGTCTGTGTGTATCTGTGTGTGTCTGTGTTCCTATGTGTTCACGTGTGCATAGGTGCATGTACATGCATATGCATATAGAGGACAGAGGTCAACAGTGCAGGTCTTCCTTACTCATTCTCCACTTATTTTCCCATCCCTTCCTACACAGTCTAATTAAAATTAAGTAACCGTCTTTGTGCTACTCATTTTTTTTTTTTTTTGGTGGGGGGATGTTGAGACAGGGTCTTTCTGTAGACCTAGCTGGCCTGGAACTCAATATTTAGATCAGGCTGACTTTAATCTCACAAAGATTGACCTGCCTCTGCCTCCAGAGTGTTGGGATTAAAGGCATGTACCACCCGCCTGGCTGCCACTCAATTTTTGACTTAGAAATTTCTGTAATCTTCTGGGCCCACTCATTTCCATTTGTAGATTCATTTCATATTCTAGCTAGTTGTTCACACTTTCTTTCGCTGAGAGCACCCGGGAGTAACCTTCCACTTCTACAAGTAGTTTCACTGTTTGTTTTGTTTTTCAGTGTCCCTTGCTTCCTTGGCAGTCAGTGTTGCTTTTCTCTGGTCACCTTGGGTCTTGTTCTTTCCCGAAGCCCCCTTATTCTCTAAGGAACCCGAGCTGTTGAAGTGGTTCTTTCCTCTCATTCCTCTTCCTGATCATCCCATCTCACTTTGTGTACTATCCTGACTTTGCTTCCTGTGGACACAGAATACTGCCATCTCCAAGTGGCAGGTTGTGTTCTGGTCTGTGGGTATCAGCTCTGGGAAGGGAGGTGAGGTGTGGCTCCAGGGAGGCCCACACCACAGAGGTGGTGTTGCTAGCCAACCTAAGTGGATGAGGGTGTGTTAGCTTGCAAGCAGGACGGTCCCTTACCCACAACCCCACCAAGGGCAAAAGTAAAGAGTTCACGTGGAGTCTCCGTGAACCCAGCCCCATAAAGTACTTTTCTTCTTCAAGAGCAGAAAAGATGATGCCAGAGCTAATCCTGGCAACCAAATGTGTGTGGTTGCAATGCAGCCGACTGAAAATAGAATATATCGTGGTCTCTGTGCAGCGGCCTATGAGAATGGCAAGCACTGGTTTGTGAATGGAGGATGGGGTTTTGAAATTAGATAGGAGCAGAGCCTTGGAGGTGGGGGGGATAGATTTTCAGGGTTTTTTTTAGAGGCAGCTCTTGAGACAAGTGCAGAGGCTGAGTAATATGCCACTCCTAAATGGCACGGCTCAGCCAATGAGCACCGGGCTGCTCCCTGCTGCTATAGCATAGTCTCTGTGCCTGTCTCGGGCTGGCTCAGCAACCAAACCCAGATTTCAGGTGTGGTATTCCACAGTCATTCTGTAATTTGTAATCATAGAAACAGAATGTTCCTCCTCTTATGTCTTCCCTGCCAACAGTTTCTGGGTGGGTGAATGTCAGTAGCTAGAGTTATTTTTAAAGAGGAGAGGTGAGGCTTGTCATGCAAAGCTGGGAAGAGGGCGTTTGTTTGCAGAGCAGAGCTGACATCAAAGTGTAGATTACTGCTCACTGGCTAGGCACTTGTCCTGTAACAGGTAATGTTTAACGTGCCCGTCACAAAGATCACAGCAACAGTGTATGCACGGGCATAAGATAACACCACCTTTTATGCTCTGGAAGACTGAAAGACTATACGTGCCCACGGACTTTTATTTTTTATTTTTTTTTCCAAATACACGTATGCATTGGTCTTGCTGCTACCTCTTTTGCTGATTGTAATTGGACTTTCAAGTTGGGAAGTTGTATAATAAAAATTAGTTACCGTTGTCTGAGAGTGAGCTCAGCTAAGCAATCACTTTCCAATTCTTTCCACAGGATAATATAAACGTTTTTTTGAAAGCTTGTGAACAGATTGGATTGAAAGAAGCCCAGCTTTTTCATCCTGGAGATCTACAGGATTTATCAAATCGAGTCACTGTCAAGTAAGTTTCACATGTGTGCTTTTTGTTTATGTATATAAATATGTATAAATATAAATATACAAAAGATAAAAGTAATAATTAAATATAGATTCAAAATGAGGGCTTTCAGCTTGTGAAAGTGGTTGCTGAGAGTTTTTGTGATTACTGAAAAATCATTCCTTTCTCTGTCTTCCTTGTTTCTCATTTCAAATTAGACTGTTTAAAAATGGTTTGGGGACCGTGAGTGTAAGCATCTGTAATTGATAGCATATCCTGGTCTTGTAAATCTTTGTACTGACCAGATTGGCAGTTTCTATTTTAATGTTTTCCAGTGTGATAGTGTTTGGTTGCTAATGGTGAGCATATTCATTATAGTTAGGAAGTGAATTTAGAGATTACTACTGTAATTTACAGGTTTAAAAAAAAGGAGTTTAAAATAGTTTCTATGTATTTGGAAACACGATGTAATTGTTAACATAAAAATTATAGTTAGGGAATAATTATAGTTAGGGGACATTGGTAAAAGTGACCTTGTTAATATTTAGAAAATAGCAGTGGCCCAGGACCAACAACCTTATCAGTTGTGGTTGGTTTTAAAACGATGAAGTATTTCACTATTTTAATAGTTTAGACAAGAAAATACAAGAGCGGGTGAACCCATATCTGCAGGTATTCTGTCGGAGTTTAGGGGTGTGAGGGTATGGTTTCAGGAAATCGGCTTTTAAGCTGTTAGAATTTTTTTTTTCTATAAATATAATCTGCATCCAGGAAATTGGCAAAATAGTTGTGCTGCCAGGTAAATGTGACACAAAAATTATATAATTTTGAAACAATGACTGCCTCCTTATGAGGGCTCTTATAACTAATTAACACTTTTCCAAGTGAGAAAATAAATGCTACGTTTTACCTAAAGAAATAGTGAAAACGGAAAATTCAGTATCAACTACTTCAAAGACTGATGTAGTTAATGCCCTTGTTTCATAGTTTCAGTAGTTATTAAAACTGACCAGCAAACCTTACATGTGAACATTGCTTCAGGAAAAAGAATAATTACATTAATTTTTTTTTTGATAGTCTATACCGTCTTCTAACAATATAACTTAAATCTCAGGTGGCACTAGTTGCTTTAGAATCTAACAGTAAATTTTGTAGATGAACAACCTGTTTCACCGCGACCTGTATCTACTTTGGTCGTGTGTTTTCCTAACTCTACAGTGGTATTAGGTGCCTAGAAGGGGGATCTGTCCACATTTCCGATGAACTGAAAGATACTTGAAATCCTAAGTTGCCAAAATACTTCTGCAGTATTCAGGGTTCTTTTAATTTCCATTAAACATTAAAAGCTGAGTGAATTTCTTTTAATTTTTCTTGTCAGGATATACTTTCCTAAGACCTACCTGGGCAGAGACACTTTAGTTTTTGAAAACGTTCCTTTCTTTAAGTTGGTGATGTCTAGTAAGGATAAGCGTGTTGCCCTCTGCAATCATACTGCTTTGAAACTTGCAGCCTATATTTGAGTAGGCTTATGGACTAGGCAAAACATGTTTGTTGGCCCCTAATTTCAAGGGTATTGCGTATAGGACTTGCCTAGAGCCGCTTTCAGGAGCTGTTGGGTCTAAAAATGTTGAAGAGAAATCAGTATCTGGGCTCAGCCTTTGGTGAAATTAAATTACTGGCAAAGTGAAACCGGGAGAGTGCGAAGCAGGCAGAACAACTTGTTTCAGTGGAAACCACAAAGCTATCAAAGCAAGGTGTGCCTCCGTCTGCCTGTGGGGTGAGACAGCAAAGCAGAAACTGTAACTTTGCTTGAGAACTTTCCCCATACTCCTGTCTTTTTGGGCCATAGAGCAAAGGGTCTGCTCTAGGTCTGCACAGAGGGAGCCTTGGAGCCTCCCAGAGCAGATATAAGGACTCTGGCAAATGAATTCTCTTATGCCCTAAAATAGCACTTTTATTAAAGGAAGCAAGTTTAAAGGAAGGCAAATAATTGCTTACTGAAGAGTAATGTGGTTGTTAGTTTTAGTTTTGGTTGTTATGTAATGTAGAGACTCCTGTGGGTCAACTCTTGTCCTATCATTATTGTAGATTAAAGGACTTGGCATTGATTAGATCAGTGGTTCTCTTCTGGAGGCAGTTTTTCCTCCCCAGGGACATTTGGCAATGTGTAGAGACACTTTTGGTGGTCATAGCTGGTGTGGGGTACCATGGGCATCTATCTAATAAGTTGGGGTGGTGTTAAGTACCCTTTTGCTCACAGGACAGACCCACAATGAAGAATTTTCCTTCTCTAAACAGCAACAATGCTGGGGTTCAGAAATCTTGGCTTGTGCATTAAGTCCCTCTTTACCAGCAAATCAGTCATGTGTAAATGGACACTGACTGTGATAGACTTTTGACACTCTGCTACAATGTCACTTTACATTTACTGTCATATAATCACTACCTTTCCATGTTAATGTGTTTATTTAAATGGAAAGGCTCATTATAGTTTGCCTGAGCATGTGAATGTGTGTTGCACTTGAAATTAGTGTATTCTCTGTATACATTCAATGGAGCAAAATTGTAGTAACTCATTTGATTATTATAAATGCTCTGCCATTACCAAACTGCTCAGGCCACATCTAATAATGCAAAGACCTTGCTGGCCTTCTAGCATATACAGTGCAGTCATGATATACTGAGAGAAAACATTAGCAGGCAATTGATATACCCTGTGTTAGGGAACAGGAGGTGTTTTTGTTTGTGGGTGGAGAAGACATAGTGGGTGCATGGAGTGTGGGAGAATTGTGTATGTTTGAAAATGGGTGGTGAGAAGCATTAAAAAGCTGTTGCTAGTGAATAATTTCAGTAATCCAGATCCTTAGTGTAACCATCTTCAGCAACTTGTGACTTTAAATTTAATTTCCAACAGATTTTCACCAATGAACTAGAACTTGAATACTCTGTATACTTCGGTAATTATACATAATCATGTAGGATCCTGAGTTATTTTCTATTGCAGGAAGTGGTAGTTTGAATTTTTTTCTCAAGTACATTTGAATGATTTTATTCATTTCCGTGTTGTGTCTTATTTAGGAGTCAGTAGGATCCATTTTAATCTGTTTTTGCTTCCCAAAGTCTTAATAAACGAACTTATGATTCAGTCTCCTTCGATGGTAGATGGAGGGCTTCCCCATCTAAGGTCATGGAATTCAGCTTGCATCGTTATCATAACCATTTACTAAATATCCACATTGAACTGAAATGTACATGATCCATGGGGAACAGGTAGTATGGCACCCCCTTCCCAGTGACCGCAGGAGCATGCCATAATACACTGGGAATTCTTCATAGTAAGGGTCAGGGTTTTTGTGGTGGCATCTGGTCATGAAGAATGTACAGAGCAACTGAATAGAAAGCAACTCAGCAGAGATGATTAGGTCCTGTCTTAGAAAACTTAGAGTTGGCAGAAAGGTAGGGCTCAACATTAAGAGTTTTAACTTTTTATGGTTAGTGTTAGTTTTTTTTTTAGAAACTAAGACTTGTATTTAAAACATTGCTTGAAACATTTTTTTTCTTTTTTGTGTGTATGTGTTATATGCCTGTGTGTACATGTGTACTCACTTGGGCATGTGCACATTGGAGTCTAGAGGTTGATGCTGGGTGTTTTCTACTCTCTACCTGATTTTTAAAAACTATTTTATTATTTTTATTTTATGTGTACGAGTGTATGGCCTGCATGTATGTGGGTGCACCTGTGTCATTCAATGCCATGGAGGTCAGAAGAGGGCTTCGGATTCCCCTAGAGTGGAGTTAAGGAGGGTTCGTAGCCACCATGTGGGTGCTGGGAATCGAACCCAGGTCCTCTGCAAGAGTAGTCAGTGCTCTTAACCACTGAGCCATCTCTCCAGCCCCCTCTACCTGATTTTTTTGAAACAGGCTGTCTTACTGGCCTGGAACTCACCAAGTAAGTTAGATTTGAGCCAGAATCTGTCTGTCCCCACCTCCCAGTGCTGGGGAACAGGTGAATATCACTGAGCCTGGCTTTTTTGTGTGTGCTGTGGATCCTAATTCAGGTCCTCATGCTCACTCAGAAAGGACTTTCCTTACTGAGCCATCTCCCCAGCCTGCTCAAAACACATTTTATCAAACATTTGAAGTTGCAGATTTGAACAGATTGTAAACATGTTTGTTCCTTCCACCCCTGCATTCCAATCCAAATTTTAACACTTCTTCAGATACATTCTGTTCATAATGTAATTACAGGATGGCAATGCTTTTGAGCACAATAGTGAAAAGAAATAATTTTCTAGTATTAACTTTGTGCTTTATTTAGGTTGTTATTATATAAAATATAACTTTAAATGGTGATGTCCCAATTTTTCTTCTAATATATTGACGTGAGGGTACAAAAATCAAGAATCTTTTTGGTTTTTAAATACATGCTCATTGCCACAGGAACAGTGATTGAAATACAAATAGTGTTAGAATCTTTCCATCATGAAAATGTCATTTTAGGGATGCGGGTGGTCTCCCTAGCTTCAAAAGCCAGCTTGATTTTTGTAGCAACACCATAAAGTCATTTCTTTGCATTCAAGTCCCCAGGTGCACTCTGTCTAAACAGTCTGCCAAATTGAGCTTGAGTATATTTGTGTGTAAATGTATTTATTTATGATTTAGTCATGTAGGTAAAATCCATTTATTTTGAGTAATTTACACCATTTTAAAATTTAAGTCTTTTTTTTTTTTTTTTGCAAGTACATCTCTTTCAAATGAGTATTTCAACATCTTAAATTTAAGATTTAAGGGCTACCTCATCTAATTTAATTTATTAAAACAACTTGGCAGTATCGAACGGTGGCTCCGCAGCTTGAGTAGGAGGACTCCCACCTGCCCCTGTATGTTTAAAACTGTTTGCCTTCCTATCAGCTCTCAGAAGAGAAAGCAGAAAGGAAGTTAGTTCACTTTGCCATTCTTTGGAGACAGGAACTTACTTGGTAAAGGCACATTAATCCCCCTGGGAGGTCTGAGGCTCCAATGAA